GGGCCGCTCCGATACCCGCCGTGCCCGCTCCCACGCAGCCTTGGCTGCCGGCGCCGCTCAGCCCAAGCAGCAGATGGTTCACCAAGAGCTCCCAGAGCTTCTCTCTCCAAAGAGAAAGTTGAGTAGAAGTTCACCTGGAGCCTGACCAAGCACCATCTCCCTTCCAAGCATCCGATTCCCTGGTCACATGGGCTGCAGGACACGGGGGTACCCCGGGATGGGCACAATCCCCCTCCCCAGAGCCATGCAGGGCTCCCTGCCAGCCCTGCTCCCCACTAATCCCCCAGGCAGAGCTGCTTCCTGCCCCATCATCCCACCAGCATCTGTCGCCGTCTGCCACAGCGGCAGCGCTTACCCCACCGCCCCTCAGCAGCCGGAGCCCAGGAAACGTCCGGATGCCCACGGAGCACAATGCTTCCATCCCCAGCTCGGCTGCGGAGCTGCACGAGCCCTCCTGGTGCTGCAGGGACCGATTAAAGCCCCCATGGACCATGGTGGTGTCCTCCTGCATCTCCCACCGGCTGTGCTGGCAAGTGGACCCGGCCTCTCGCTCTCTTCCCATCGGAAAACAGCAACGAGGACCTTTGCTAGGAGCACAGCACCTTGTCCTGCCAGTGACGCCCTCGAAGGTGGGCAGATGTCCCCACCCATAGCAGGGGGTTGGAACTAGGTGATCTTTAAGCTCCCTTCAGCCCAAACTGTTCTGTGATTCCATTAAGATGCCAGGACTCAGGAAGAGCATCCTCTGGTCACAGACCTCCGTTCCCTTTTCCACACAGGACCCAGCCAGGGCAGGGGACAGCAGGGACAGCTGCTGGGGACATCAGCCAGGGCCATCACATGCTTGACACAAACCACTCATCTCAGAGCACCAGTATCGTCATCGGTCACTAGCTGCTGGTCCCAAAACAGGGCAGAGAGGGGGTCACTAGGGGTGTCCCCCCGCAGCTTTGCACCCCGGGCAGCACAGGGCACCCAAACCCCAGGAGGGAGCGGGGAAGGGGTGCAGGGTCCCCTCCCGGGGGGTGAAGGATGGATGGGGGGATGGATGGAGGCCGGGCTGGGGG